TGCATGCTGTCAAAATTAATCTGGCTTTGGCTCAATTCCCAAAATCTCAATTTTTTATTGCGTCTGACTCAACTCAATTAATCAAAAAGCCACCTGATCGATCAACCTATCTCTACTCCAACTAGTCAAAATCTTCGTATGAAACAAGTTGTTCAATAATTTATTTATCAAAGAACTATTTTTTCTCGAATTTCATACAATCTTCTAAAGTATTGTTAAAGCAATCTTTGGAATGTCATAAACATGTGTTTTATAAACCTTAATAACTTCAATGTCGTCTTATTAGTGATATTCGAATTATTCAAATAGAAACTCCATCTCGGGATATGACGTGAAAATTTAGAGTTAATTTTGAAGTATCTGTTATAGAAACCATATTTGCCTATAAAAAACCGTCTAAAAGGTAATGTCAGTCAGACAGGATTTCACGCGATCGACATATCTATTGTCATAGCAATAGTACAAACTGAATAGGGTTTTACTAGCGAATGGTTTTGGGTATGATTTGATTGGTTCTCAAGTTGAAACTTGTTTGTTTGTCTTTATTCAAGAAAGTTATTCTAAAAGTGGATCGAATTCAAGTTGTTTAATTAGAGGTCCACTTTAAAATTGTCTATTAACATCATATTTGACGTGCTGATAGTGGCAAATTTTTTGCATGATCACATTTTCGGGCAACGATATAATAATAAACTAATTACTAAAAAAGAATTTTTTTATTTATCCATTATTATTAAATTATGTATGTGTTATTAAGTAGTCTAGAAATTTTTGTAATCTATAATATCTTTTTTTTTTTTTTTTTGAAAAATAAAAAATTCTATGCTTTTGATTTTTAAAAGCCTTCTTCATAATATTTCTGTTGCTGTTACTGTTGTTGTTGTTGTTGAAGATTCGAGTGACCGGCAGTTTTTGTATAGGAAACTTCATCATCGTCATCAATTAATTCTTTAACTTCCCAAACATGCAGCTTATTACCAACAGAAAATTCAAGATCCTCTTTTGTGATGGAATCCCAATATTTGTAAACCATCATAACAGCCAACAATGTAGAAGCTGTTCCAAAAAATAATCCATCAAGATAATGTTTAGCAACATCGCAAATGCGAACTGAGAACAAGTAAAGAGTAGTTTGTCCAATTGCATAGAATGACACTCCAAAGAAAATATCACCAAGTGGCCAACGATCTTCAAGAGTTTTGATTACTAGTAGAATTTGAAGAACGATATAGATCACAAGTGCTGCACCATTAAATACATATAATATTATCAATAAGATAAAAGGGTGTAATGGGTTTAGTCCTACTTTTGATGAAAATGTTGCGACAGCTAAAAAGGTGACAGCTCCAAATACAAATAACGATGAAAGACGAATTGTCTTTTTGAAAAAAAAATTTTTTTTTTTATTCGAGAATTAAAATTCAAAGATATATATATGATGATTGGTTATTAGAAAAACAAAATAAATATCTACCCAAATTGATAATGGTGTGCCATCTTCAATAAATTGAAATCCTATAAAGCCATTAAATAATAAACACCAAAATGTTGTTGTGATAAGACCAATATGCACAGCAGTGAAATACTAAAAATAAAAAAGTATTTTTTAGGAGAAAAAAAATTATTAATTAAAAAATAAAATTGCAAAAAAAAAAAAACAAAGATATATATATAGGTAACTTACAGAATAAGCTTCGGATGCGGTAGGAATAATGCCAGAGGTAAGCAATGATTCTAGAAAAGTAACCATCATATACAAATAAAAGAACATTACCATTTCCTTACGACCTAATCAAGTAAATTAATATTACTAATATTGTTGTGTTTATTGTAAAAAAAACATGTCAAGAAATTACCAACCGACTGCAGTGTATTTTGATTTTATATGATAAATCATAATGGTCGTCATGACAAGAGCAATTGCATGTACAATAATTGTAGCTAAAAAATGAAATATAATTTTGTAATTTGTACTTTATGCTCGTAATATTATGATGTTATGTATTTATATATTCACCTGGTTGAAAAATCAACATTCCTGCTATTTCGATATTTCTTGAATAACATGTTGGCTCTATACCTGCTTCAGAACCAACAAGAGGACATAAAGTAAGTGCGATTTCCTGACAAATTCTATCAAAGTCGCCGAATTTTACCATTATAATTTTAATTTTTTCGATCGATATTATAATAGAGGAGAAAAGAAAAGCAAAAAAAGAATGAATTATTTAATCAACGGATTAGTTGAGAATGATTGTGTTTATGAATGAATGTGTAAATATTTTTTGGGATTTTAATGAAAGGGAAGAAAGAGAATGTTAAATTATTATATTTAATGTGAATGAATTTGGAAAAAAATCGAATTAAACAAAAATAGATATGTGGTGTAGTGTATTAAATAACATGCACTATTTATTTATAAAGAATTATGTATTATGTACGTTATATTTTGAATTTTAAAAACTGTGATCGAATCTCATTAAAAAAATAGATAATGTGAGATTGCGTCCGAGATAAATACGTGATTTTGACTTTTCAGTAATTTTAGGATCGGGAAAACTCTATTGAATGTGACCGCTAACACTATGGTTAGAAAATGCTTTTTTTTAAAAAAAGGCGAGACCGATCCGCACCGATAAAAAATGAAAAAAGCCATCAGTTACACAAATATTTTCGGGATCTGCAAAAGCAATGTATTTCTTCGAAGAATTTTCCAAGAAGGCCAATCATTATTGTTATACACACATAGGAGTGTTATTAACTCAAAATTGACTTTTGGGCAACATCACCCGTTTCTATTTATCAGGCTAAATATTAGAGGTTATATGCAAAACTATTAATAAATTTTATAACTTTAAGCTAATATCACCTTAAATTTCACCCACTTATGAATATGACCTTATAAAGGGATTAATTCAATTAGATATAAAATTTATTATTTTAAATAAAAGTCCAATGAAATGAATAATGTTGGATTGATTACCATTATGAAATGAAATTAGAAACTAATGCTAATAATAATTTTTAAACTCGTCATTATATGTAAATAAAAGAACACATTTAAAAAGACCTCAAAAAATAAAAAGGCTTACCATTAGTTCTCTTCTTTCTTTCAAAAAACATTTAACACCTCATATCCATGTATAATCCAATTTGTCTTCAATATTGCTTGCTTAAATTTTGTTCCTCGTCATTTTCTGCCATCATGAAGTTCTGATGACTCAAGGATCCATTTGCATTGTCAATACCCTGTTATTGAGAATTTAATCATAGATGTTAGTGGAAGTCATCTCTCTTAATAAATGATTACTGAAACTAAAATGGCAAATTAGTAGCTGAAATTACATACAAACACTGTAATCTAAAATAAATCAAATATGTAGCATGGTTTATGCTTATCCATATAAAGAATATTGAAAAGCCAAAATGATTGCAAAAATTGCCTTTTTTCCCAAAAACCATTCCACCAACAATCTAAATACACCAATTTTTTTCTTAAAAGTATTTTAATTAATAAATTATCTACTAGGTAAAATTTTGTATGTTCTCGGCTATTTTGATTTGCATTATCAAATGTGTTCAGAAAATTGGTTCACATACAGTAAAGTTTTCCTGGTCCATTTTAGTTCTACATTCCACAATCCAATTTCCTTTCCTTTCTAATTCAATTTCAAATATCACAATTACTTCAATTACTTCACTACACAATACAATTCCTTGCTAACATACTCTATAACAGTTCATTGTTATCCTCACTGTGTAAAAATTATATGGCTAGGAAAATAATTTATTCAATTAAGAAATATTTTGAATTTCATTCTTTTTTATTTAAAGGTATTGATGTTTTTATTATATATACATTACTGCATCAGTGAAGAAAAAGATAATGATTAAGATCAATATTGTGAAAAGAAAGTGAAGGAATTGAAGCAATATTCAAATGATTTTGATGTTACTTGGTATTCAGAATTGATACAAATTGTAATGACTAATGATGCCATCTGTAAATCAGATTTATAGAAGTTGTATCTATCAACTGAGTTGTCATACTATTTGCAATCAAGTGCCAAAATCTGTAATTCTCTGTACAGTGTGGATCATCTATGCTCAAAAGCTAAAAATTTGAAAAATTATGTGATCCACATGTTGGATTTTTAAAAAACCACCATCATTCAATTCAGCTTTAAAAAAGGAGTCAATTCATGTAGGGTAATCACGTGGTAGATCTAATAGAAAACAATGGCTCAAAAAAAAATAATTCAATATTAATATTACAAAGGCTTCTAGTACTATTATTAAATAAAGACCCCAGACTTTAATTCTCCATTCTTTTGAGTTTATATCTGAATTTCCACAATGCTTGCAAGTGAATGTTAGTATTAATTTCAATTAATTTTCTGTGGAAATAATATTGTTGAACTTAAACTATTGTCTTAAATGATTTATTAACAGCATTTCCAATTTCCAGATTATTTGATTATGTATTTTATAATCTAACTTATTCACAATGTGTATTTCTAGCTTCTTTTTTTTCTTTTTTTTTTTTACATTCCGATTTGCTTGATATAATTCAAGTTTGATATCAAAAGAGCTTGAGAACTTTTAAATGATAAAAGGTAATCCATTAGGGAGTGTAGATATCACTTTCTTCTACTATCCTATAAAAATATTGCTGAAATTCCATATTATCAACAGTAAGAGAATGAAATAATATTTATTCTTTTATTATTATAAATATTTGCGTTTGAAGATTATTGTATATATGACTAATTTTTTACACAATAGGTGGTGATAAAGATAGCTATAATCATCTCATGATTACAAATAACAAAAACATCCTGCTAATATGCAATTGCTGGTGTTGTAATGTTTGCAAGTTGCCGAAATGGATATAGATCTAAAAGTAGTTCCTTGACATTTGTTATACAATGCGCAAAATCAACTTTGTTTGTTTTACGCTTGACTTTATTTGATAAATCATTATAAAAAAGATCCAGAGCTCAGACCTGTCCACCAAGGTCACTAACGCAGCAATTAAAGGTCTTGTTATTATTGATATAGTTTGATAGTGAGAGTTCGGAGTCAGCAATACTTTGCTAATACTCCACATCTCCTCATCTTGAAGAAGACAAAATGGTAAGTGAAAATAAATATATGTTGATTCTCTGAACACTTTTTCAAGAGGACCCTGAATTGTGCCAGATAAGATTGGTAGATAGAATATATCTCCGCTACTGCAACCCAAACTTCCAGCAGAATGTACAATTTGACGAACTGGATTTCCTTGGGGATCTGACTCTTTACCACACTTGTGCAAAAGGTTTAGCTCATCAATGGCGAGGACAATAAATTTAATATAATTATCAAAATTCCTATCACTATTAACACCCTTGAGAACAACCCCAGGTGCATGGCTAATCTTATGGCTACATTTCTCCTGAAAATCTTCATATTCACAAGGCCCACCAGAGATAAAAATGTTCATAGAGTATTCGATCCCTTAGCAGTGGGCACATCTTCTGGTGATGCAACAGTGCTATTTCCAAAGGTAACATTGATGGTGTACATTCGATTTTTGATCATATCTAAAAGTTCTTTGTCATCTGTATAATATTCAGTTTCGTTATAGAGTAAATTGGGAAGTTCTTGGAGGAATCTACTTTTTCCTGTGCCTGGTCCATTAGCCAAGATGTGGGATAGGGTGGTTGTTTCAGTATTTTGTCTTGAGGTTTTTAAATCTTTGGACTTCTAGAACCTTCAAATAATGTCCTCATTGTTTCATCTCGACCTTGCAAGGGAAACTTGGCACCATATGAAATCCACTAACTGATTAAGTATATATACAAATCAGTGTGTAATCAGAAACAAAATAAAAAAACAAACCATACCTTGGGTGTAAAAATTTCATCAGAATGCTTCAAAGGTTTTATCCAGCTATAAATTGATTCAACATCATTCCAATTAACTTCATCTATATGGCAGGAGGTGACGGATCAGGTATAATAAAAAGTCGTAAGCAGTATACCAAATAAATAAACAAAATGGAATGAATAGAAATATTTTTTTGTATATTTTTTTTATGCAATTTTTTCATTACCTTCTTCCTTTCCAAAGTTTTCAATAGTCTTATGTGCATTAATCGCCACAAATATGTTCTGATGATTTCTTGTAACAAGGTGTTGGGAAGTTTTCAATTGTGATATGGAAACACTGACATCAAAAGAATCAAAAATCAGGAAATTTTGCCAAAAGTACAACAACACCCATATTCATTAGATGCTGATAGAAATGGTTACAGTCGGAGAAGAAATTATACGTGATATTTATGGGAAGATGCTAGACGAATATGAAGAGCCCCTAATTGTATTGGTGGTAGTGATAGATTCTACAAAGCTGAATACATGGATTGGGATCTACAAAATATAGGCAGGAAAAGCTCTAAAGTGTTTCAATGACTGTGTATGCTTGTATGCTGCCTGATATGAAAACTTGCTTTGAAAACCTGTACTTTTGCTTTTAATTACTGAATTATGTTTTTGACATTTGATGAAATGGTGTGTATATTTTTAATTATATAATTTTATTGTATAGATGGTGTCGGGTCCTCATGTGAGCATCATATATTAGGGGCATCGCCTTTACA